CATAAGTAAGAGATTTCATTTGAGGCATGTGAAAAAATTTTAGTCGTAACTGTAAGAAAACTTAACTGATGCGAGTCAGCATTGAGAGACATTATCTCATGCTTACTGTCTGTAATTGTCAGATATTTTTACATCTGCAACAGAACGAGAATGCGTTCGCAAAACATAGAGTTAGCTTCTCATCAAGACGCCAACATCTTCATACTGCAAATGTAATTATGTATAAATTTCTGAATCTTTTACAGTTTTAGGATTTGCATATACGTCTGTAAAGTTGACAAGTGTCATTTAAATTTTATGTACAACCATATTTTAATACTTTTTCAGTATCAAACTTGGAAATATGAACGGACAGAAATAAATAATTTCTCGTTATTTCCGACTGTCGAAACGACCGCGAGACAGGAGATGCGTGCAGTTTGAATACGCGTCTGATCTACAGTCATTGCATCGAGCGTTTCCATTGCGCTTCCAAGCGAATAGCAAGCCTCCTCCACTCCCTCCACCTTGGTCGTACTTCGCGGCAATTCCAGCACGCCACGAACACCTCGATTCTCCTCGTCCCACAACGTGTTTTCTCATTCTGCGCTTTATCTCCTGCCGTCCTCGAGAAATGTTCGTTGGATGTGCTGGCATAACGCGACGACGGCCAGCAGAGGCGGCGGCGATGACGGTGATGGTGGGAAGTTGGAAGTGGGTGCTTGTGTAGTGGTTAGTGTCGATAGCCGCGATAGTAGTGGTGGCTGTGTCGACGACGGCGAGACGGACACGATGTTTTCGCCTCGGTCAGTAGTACCAAGGGAAAGCGTCGCGTTGGTTGCAATACGTGTGATCATTACGGCCGTCCGCAAAAACATGCGGCGCTACAGCCTCGGCATGGCGTATAGTGAGAGCACCAGGGGGCGCGCGCGCGCGTTCCGCGTATACATATGTATGTATGTATGTATGTGTGTCCGCTGTCTGCTGCTACGTGTGTAGATAGCTGACACGAATCCAGAATATCAGGATTCGTGGAGTTGAGACCATGTGCACAGCCGCAGAGAATCAAGATACCGATCATCGAGTTTCGTGATATCAAAATCGGTCCGATTATATATATATATATTATAGCAATGCTATTCGTGCTGACGATATTTTATATCGGATAACGTGTTTACTGAAAAATATCAAATAAAGCAAAAAATTTGGTGGAATATACGAGATAGCTTTTATCCGGAGTAATGTGACATTTCATTACACTCTGCTAAAAAAAAAGATTATCGGAAAACAGTTTTCAGTAAGAAGCGACAAAAATAGAGGACAGATTACACGCAGATAATCAATTACTTATATTCTCAAAATCAATCAAAAATTTTGGCATTTTTTCAGACACCTAAAGAAAACATAAATTTAATTTCGTCGGACACTTAAAAGGGAATATAAATGGCATTTAAGAAGAAGTATCTTGACATTATCGGTTGTCACACACCTCGAACAGCGTGCCGACTTAAAACGTGACAGATATCTTCTCCATTCAAGAGTCAGGTAGAATGACAACACCTACAAAAGTCGAAGCTCCGCCTCTGTCTCTCTGGGTGTCTCTTCAAAATTCATACTCAACCATTATTACGATCGGAAAACTGATTTGAAAAGACCACCCGTCATTCGAAGCAGAACATTCGTGTTTTCGTAAAAATTGTGTGATTATTTGCACCTAAGTATCTCTCGTAGACGCACTACCTGGCTGGTTGTATAACATCGAGAGATACATATATAGAGGCATTTTGTAAAACAACGTGCTACGTTTTTTCAAGCAGGAAAGCGACTCGATGAATCAGTAATTGGATCGCGGTCGTTGCGATCGCGAGTATCGGGCATGTATAGTGTGTGAGCACACGCGGTCACTCGCTTCGTTCTAGCGGCGCGGAGGCAAATGTATGTGTGTACGTGAGCTAAAAATGATACGTTGCACGGGGAGTGACGTCATGACGAGTCAGCTCCTCGGCCGATGATCGACCGCGCGCGCGGCGGCGCGGCGACAGGCATATGTACGCGAATGTTTACGTCAAACGCAAATATCAAATTTGCAGTATAGAGGTTATATGTAGCTCATGGTAAGCGCGAGAGGGTAATTCGTTGAACTACCATTACTCGACAAAGAGGGAGAGAGACACCTAGCCCCGGGTTCGATAAATGCCCTTGATAAGTATTGTGTTGTTTTGCATCCGTTTATTAACTCCTGACGTCATCTTGACGCGATATACTGCAAGCGATATATGAATATAATAATTTTGGAATTTATCGAAAAGAGACAACATTTATGTGTATTCTTCGCTGTCGTACACGTGCGCGCATGTGTCCATATAGAGGTAGTAATATATTTTTAATAAACTTGTATCAAGTTTAATTGAGGACAATTGAAGCGAATTTCCGGTGTGTTCTTTTTGTCAAGAGAGAATCATAAATGTTACGACACGTAAATCAAATGCGACTACTGTTAAAAGTGTAAAATAAATATTGATAAGAAGTGGAATTGTGCTTTGATGTTAAAATAAAAATTACTGTCCGTGTTTCGTGTCTCGCGAAACAATAAGAGAAATATTGCTTCGGAGCAGCAACAACGTTCAGCGCGTTTAAAAATGAACTACACTATAAAAAGACTAGCGAAACAAAGAGATTTCCGTGAAGTATAATCACGATGCGAACATGTCAGAACTTTTAAGAATCAGACAGAAATGATTATTTTTAAAAGTTACTGATTCTAAAACAAAACAAAACAAAAAAAATTTCCGAGTTCGTGAAACAGCAGACAGACAGACACAGACTTCGCAACAATAAAAATACACGATTATGCACCCAAAATAAATTTTATATCTCGCGCATTGACGCGCATTGCACGGTGTTATGTTTTCAGTTCATATCGATAACGCAAACGCGATAAGGAAGCCATCGAATCGTACAAAACTTATGATTCTTTGGAAAACGATAAGACCTGTGCATTATCACGGTGCACATCCGCGCGCAGAGCTTTCGGCTTGTCTCGCTTATGATGTGAAACTTCAAGAAAAGATAAGCCGAGACGACCTAGTAATCCTGATGTGTATTTTTGTTCGAAAGGTAAAAAAAAGAAAACACGCTTGTTAAATGTCAACCAAAACACGTTGTGCGTAAAACAAAAAAAATTATCTTTGCCTGAAAAGACATGTATATATGAACATGCTTAAGTTCAAAGAGATATACGTGTAAAAATGGAGAACAATGCGAGATTTCAGATGCGAGAAGTCGTAATTGCGCATCACAAAATGTCGAAACGATAGTTCTATATCAGTTCTTGTTCTCTTGCAGATAAAACGTTTCCGAAACGATATAAATACAATAAGTTGTTAAACCATTTTGTGTAAGTTGGGAATTTATGTAATATTGTTAATATTATAACTAGATAATTTTACCTGATATCTCGATCGATGTAATTACACATTTGATTCCGCGTTTGTATGTTTAAATTCTACGGATCAACAACGAACAATTCGGTTTGAGAGCAAATCCAATGTCTTTGTAATAAAAGTTTACTTTTGACACAGTCGAATGCCCGTTATAAAAGCCGAAGTTACAAGTAAAACTAATATCACGTTTAATTATTAGATCGTGTACGCAGAAAACATTTGAAGAAACATTTGACAGATGTCCGGACCGGGACTCGAGCTCAAATCTTTCGCTTTTCGGACGACTGCTTTTAATCTGCTTACTCGCAAAGCAATCATTAAGTTCAGAATGAACAATGATAAAATAACAAGTTCGAGTCAGACGCAGGATAGAAATGCGAGATAAATAACACATTATTCGTATCACAAATGTAGTTCAAAAATAGATCTCTCAAACGAGCAAGATAGAGATGATACATGTAAAAAATACATATTCAAATATTCGACTTAAATAGAATATTTCTACTTTTACTTCTTCTTCATTCAGCCACAATAAAGTTACAACAATTTTTTACTAACTGCGAAAAAATTAAATTTATACAAATTAGATTCCAAACGTTTCGGCTATACTTTTATGGCGAGAGTCATTACGGACTTACAATTTTTAGTGGATTCCGAACTATCGTCTCTGCTAGTTCTATTACATGTTACAGAATAATAATAAGAAACAATCATGTGTAAAGAAAATAACATTATCGTTGAATAATGTAAAATAATGAATAAAGAATACTAAAAAAAAACAAAAAAACAAAATAACGCACTTTCAAATACAATATAAAAACATTCCTACGTTACTTGGGATTGTTAAAACCGGTAGCCAGTTTCAATAAAGTATTGTCAATGTGTATAAGAGAAATCACAATTATAATTGTTAAGTATTCCTTCCTAGAGAAGAAAGTCGAACGCGCGCTACGTATATCTAATTGCTTTCGCAACATGTCAACGTAATTAAGCTCTTCGCTGTATTTATTATTATTGATAAAATTTTAGGCGTATCTCTTTTTCTCTCTCACCCTCTTTCTTTATACGAAAGATAGAGAGAAAAAGAGTGTCAAAGAGTTGAAGTCTCGCCGTTTGCTCGGAAAGTTCTCGTCGTCGCGATACGTCCTCGCGCGAAGGTCGCGACGAGCGAGTGAACAACAAACGAGAGGGAAAGAGAGATACAGAAAGAAAGGAAAAGAGATGAGAGAAAAGAAATGGAAGAAGATGGAGAAAGTGTTAAATCTATTCTTTACATATATGTGTGTGTGTGTGCGCGCGCGCGTGTATATATATATATATATATATATGCCGAAAGGTCGAGCTCTTTAAAATCTAAAATCGCGATAATTGTCACACACGCACTTTATACAAGCGTGATAATTGTCACACGCATTGAAACACAGCTCGCGTACAAACGCGACACACACACACACATAACCGCGCGCGCTAGTATGTAGTGTAGCGCGAACGCGCAATATATAATAAACGTTACACGACGAACAAGACTCTCTGCAAATGCAGCATACATGCGTGCTATGAAATTAAAAGGGTACGTACGCGGAGATCCCGAGCCAGAATTCCGATCATCTCCCCACGAAGTCTCGTTACTCAGAGATGGCACTCAGCAGAGACAACACTTTTATAATACACACGCTACACAACACTTGTGCTCCTGTTGTATTTCGCTGCACCACGATATATTATGCAAAGAGACGTAGAAGTAACTCGAGTAGAGAGAGAATTTTCGTACCGTACCGGGAGTTTTCCTTCCGGAGAGAACGAAAAGAGCAATTCGCGAATTCGCGCGGACACCCACTGCGTACAATCTCACCTCTCGCGAAATCGCGACTGATTGCGACGTCCTCGTTGCACTCCGCCAGCCGTAACCGTTCCGACCACGTTCGCCTCCCTCCCTCTCCCGTTTGCTTGCTCGCTCTCCCTCTCTTTCTCTCTTATTCGCTCTCGTTCTTTTTGCTCTTGCTTTTCTCGCTCCCACTCTTTTTCGCTCCCTCTCTTTCTCTCTTATTCGCTTTCGTTCTTTTTGCTCTCGTTCTTTTTGCTCTCGCTCTTTCTCGCTCCCACTCTTTTTCGCTCCCTCTCTTTCTCTCTTTTCTATTCGCTCCTGTTCCCTTTTCGCTCCAGCTCTTTCTCGCTCTCGCTCTTTTTCTCTCTCTCTCTTTCTCTCTTTTCTATTCGCTCTCGTTCTCTTTCGCTCCCGCTCTTTTTCTCTCTCTCTCTCTCTTTCTGTCTTCACTCCCTCCACCGTCTTATCACCTTTAATCCTTTCTTTTTACACTTCTTGTATCTTCCACTCGCTTCATCTTTTTATTCGCGTTTCTTTGTTCTTTTGCTCCTCCCTCTGTCTTAAAAGTGCAATTCGCACTGTAGGTATGATAGATCAGTAATAATGCCCAGCATTGTACACGTTCGACCAAGTGTATTCTCTGATTTGCCGATGAAAGACGAGGAGCGTGTGACATGTAGCTAATACAAAGAGAGAGAGAGGGAGGAAGAGAAAAAGAGAGGGAGCAGAGAGAAGGACGAGAAAAGACAGACACGCATGTTAATTTGACAGGTAGCAACGCTATAATGAAAAGACGTTTTTTCAACAAAGAAAAATAATGCGATGATAGTTTCACGCGCGGCGTCGTAAGTTCACTTCTATTGTAGGACACGAACTGTTATATTCCTAATGTAAGAGATACACAACAAAGTAACGGCAGACACGCGGCAGAAAACCCGAAAAACCGTAACCATGTCTTTTCTCGGCAGTGTTGACCAGCGTTCCCCAGATTTCACGACCGTGTTGCCAAGACAGAAAAATTTTTCTCCCTCCGAAAAGGACTTCTGCGCATGCGGCTATGACAGTCTATGATGACGTTATAATGATGTCATCTCTAGAGAGGTTTCGATGTTTCGGAACCATTAACAGAAGCGCAGAGCCATCTGGTTAACGGATCCTCAAATGAGAGCGTGAGGATCGATGATGTAATGTATCTGGTTGGTGCCCAAGAAGATGGAACGCTTTTTAATCCCATTTAAATCATCAATTTAAACTACATTTGGCATCTCGCACACGTATTAAATAATCGATAATAAAAATTAATTTCACGTTTAATTAACTGTAATCATATAAACAGGAAAACACTCGAAGCACAAGTGTCTCAAAGAAATATTGACCAATATCGCATTGATCGATTTGTTCGAATTGACATATATAATAGTTGAAACAAAATGTGAACAGATAGCAACACTGAAGACGCGTTGACATGTGACATCTTTGTTCTATAATCATAGTATGCAATTCACGAGCCGAGTGCAGTCACATTGCACGTGTCATACAGTGTGTGTGTACATACAGACAACCTAATTATGACATTTTTTTTCTGACACCATAAAATATGACGTTTATACTGCGGCCGTTGTCTTTCTGTGTAAAACGGAAAAAATGTACAGTACCTATCAGTTATACAGTATTTAATCATAAAATTCATTCATCAAAATGTAAGTATAGAGACACATTGCTGTGTGTAATATCATTTACCAAAAATCGTGTTAATTATATTTTAATAATTTTTACGTATTTTCTTTATTAAGTTTAAAACTTGAATAAATGTATGCTTTTCACAGGTATGTTCCATGGTGAATACGAAATGCTGGATCCAAAAACAGAAGCTGATATGTAATAATCTTGTGGTCTTACGTTTTAATATAAATTACATGTATATTTTTTTTACAAGTTTGTAATTAAACAAAATTGATCATTAAGAACTACTTTATTCTTTGTGTTTCTAGAGTCAATGTCACTTTCATTGACAAGACAGGCAAGAAGATTCCTGTGAGAGGAAAAGTAGGCGATAATGTACTTTATTTGGCACATAGATATGGAATTGAAATGGAAGGAGCTTGTGAAGCTTCTTTAGCTTGTACTACTTGTCATGTGTATGTACACCATGATTATACTGATAAACTCCCAGTGGCTGAAGAAAAGGAGGAGGATCTCTTAGATCTGGCACCTTTTTTGAAAGAAAATTCAAGGCTAGGTACAGTTTTTTTATCATTTTTTTCATGATTCTCATTCAATCTTTTCATGACATCATGTTATGCAACATTAAACTTGTATATCTGATTTTTTGTATGAATTAACACAATTGTTATAAGAACTAGAAGTTTTTATGTGTATATAATAAGTCCCCTTATATCAGGTTGCCAGATAATTTTGTCCAAAGAATTGGATGGCATAGAACTGGAATTACCTAAAGCAACTAGAAACTTTTATGTAGATGGACATACACCAACTCCACATTGATACGCTTGTTATTGAAGTTGTTTAACTTACTTGTAAATATATATTTGTACGAGAGAATATGTAAATACTTATTGTGTGTATTAAAAAAACAACTAAAAAATAAAAATATACAATTTTTTTATAACTTCTTCTTTTGTTATTATATATATATTTTTTTTTCTTATTTTTATTTAATTCTGTACACTAGCACTCCCACTACTAATTCCTCGAACAGTTTTACCTATAAGTCAACCCAACCCTACCCAACTTCGAAGTCGATTCCCTAACCTTGTTTCGCTGATTCTGCTGAAGGAACTGAACGTGAATTGTTTTGGTTGTTTGTGCAGTATAATTGTTAGATAAAACAAACCGTATAATTGACAAGATATGAAGCAGTTTATTGTCTTTTCTGCTTATTAAAGTAACGACTATTCAAACACGAAATGCCTCCAAAATGTAAATTTCAGGAAGGTATAATCTTTATTTTTTTTATCACAGAAAATCTTACAGTATGTCTAATAAATTGTTAATAAATACACAAACAACAAAAACTATTAATTTCTAATGTGATCAAAATTTAATCTATGTGATATTTAAAAATGATAAAACATATATTAAATTAATAAATTCTGTAATCACAATGAACACAACTAATGTTTTTTTTTGTTTTAGGAGAAAAGGTTTTATGCTTCCACGGGCCACTGATCTATGAAGCAAAGTGCTTGAAGTCTTCTGTTACTAAAGAAAAGCAAGTCAAATATTTTATTCATTATGCTGGATGGAACAAAAAGTAAGTTTTATGCAGATTAAATTGATTTAGATGCAAATAGATTAACTGCATTCTTATCTAAAAAAGTTAAATGCTATGATAAATACATTAATTAAATTGTATTGTTAACATAGTTGGGACGAATGGGTACCAGAGAGCAGAGTGCTCAAGTATAATGAAGCAAATGTACAGAGACAGAAGGAAGTTCAGAGAGCACATTCAAGTCAACAATCCACCCAGAAAAATAAGAAAGGAAATACAACAACAAAAACACAGGGAAGAAGAAGCGAAGGTGGTAGGGAAAAAGATGATAGTAGATCAAGCACTCCTGTTGCAACAGTTGATAGAAGTATCAGTCGTTTCAACAAAAGTGCCAGCAGCACTGTAACATCTTCATCTTCTCATGAATCTACATCTGAGCCCCAGCGTAAAAAACGAAGGTAATAAATAAGAAATAAATAAAAATCCAATTACAGAAGCACACTTGAATGTTTTAACTTTTATTCAATATTTATAAACGCAATATATATATAAGGCTTAGCTGTGTCCTTGTTTAATGACGTCAGAGATGAGAAATTACACTCTAAAAGTTAGAACCATAAATAGAGAAGTTACATTTAGGTATTTACATATTTTTCAGTCGACTAGAACCGTCTAGTGAAACGGAAGAGTTCCTCACTAAAGTAGAAGTCAAGATCAAGTTGCCCGAAGAATTGAAGTTTATGCTGATAGATGAATCTGAGATAATACTGAAACATCATAAATTGCCGGCATTACCTGTACAGAACACAGTTGATAAAATCTTAGACGATTATGTAGCAACAAAATCCGTGAAAACGAACGATACTAAGTATGAGACAATAAAAAGTTTATCAAATTCGTTTTCACTTCTTGCTGCGTAAAATGTTTATGATTAAGATCAAAAGATATTCTATTTGTTCTCAGAGAAAGTACGCTGGAAATAACAAAAGGTATTCGTGAATATTTCAATATCACATTAGGTCTTCAACTGTTGTATAAATGGGAACGACCGCAATTTATACAAATAATGGCCGATAATCCGGAAACATCGCCGAGTCAAGTGTACGGGGCGTTTCACTTGCTCAGACTGTTCGGTAAAGTTTTGTTTTAAATGTTCGCCATTTTCGCCAGTTCTCTGAAAAGTGAAAATTATAAAATTTCTGTTTCCAGTGAAACTCGGAAGTATGTTGTCTTATACACCCTTAGACGAGAGGAGTATACAATTATTGTTGTCGCATTTTCACGATTTCTTGCAGTATCTGCAGAAAAACAGCGCCGAACTTTTCAATCTTCAAGAAGATTACACGGACCCCCCACCGGATTATCATCGAAAATACGGTTAAACGCTCAAACTAAGATCAATTTGTAAAGTCGGTTTGTCCTCATTTATTCTTTGAACTTTTTTATGCACTTACATTATTTTACATGAACAATTGTATCTAACATCAATTGCGAGTGTACTAATTTGTAGTACGTCGTTTTTTTACAGAGACTGACTGTTTCAGTTGTAAATAAAATTCGAACTCAATTATATACATATGTAGGTAGGAAAATTTTTTTGTGAAATATACAAACGTGATCTCATCATTCTTAAAAATATTTTATATAATATTTTATCTGTTCTATGAGTTCGTATATTCAATATTCATTAATATTAAATTGCTTATCAGTTTGAAATATCTAATGTACAAATGTTTGAGCTATTCAAGAACTAAATTTTTTAATTAAATCTATTATTCAAAATTTTGTAGGAGACGTATGCCAACTGTCGCAAAGGAACGCCAAGTAAGTTACACAAGCACCGCTAACTTACGATGCGTTTCAAAACTACTCATCAGACAGAAATAAAGCGTTCGATTGACTAGTCAGAACAAAAAGAAAAAAAAAATTTTCCGTATTTTGATTGATATCGAACGCGCTATTCATTTTAATCTCGGCCGTCAGATAAATGACATTTTTAACTTTTACCTGTTTTACCTAACAGACTGACTTATAAACACGTGGTTCACGCGAGCAAAGCGTGCACGTGTGGCGCTCGAGACTACACACAAGTTAAAACGCGTAAACGTGTTGCTGTTCTCAGTCAGTTCTCAGCAAAATTCTTCAGAACTATCTCACTTCTGCCTGAAAGCGGCCACGGCCATAAAGCCCGTTCTACCAGAGAGAAGCCTGAGAGCGACCAGGTCCATAAGAAAATGTGTAATCACTTTTCCGCCCCGTAAACTAGCGCATGTCCACGGGTGGTACACATTGGAACTACGCAGCCAGTCCACGAGCGACATGTCGGTATGTCCACGAGCGACATGTCGGTATGTCCACAGCGTGCGGTTCTATTCTGTGCTATGTGCACGNGTTTAAATGGTCACTTTCTTTAAGTGTGTGAGTATATTCGAGAGCGTGAATTTGATTTTTTTTGAAATTTAAAATGACCGATCTCGCGATGAGAANATGAGAAAGGATAAGAAAAACCATTGCAACTTTTCGTACAACATAAATGTGNTATACCAGAAAANATGTGATAGTCAAGAAAAGAATCTTATTTTAGCGAGCAACATCAGAATTCGTGGAGTGTAGTCAAATATCATCTCCTTTTACATCATCATTTGCTGCTCTGTGGTTTATAAATTTTATTTTATTTTCTTAAAAACACTACATATATATATATATATACAAAATACACAAAAAAACCATATATATTATACAAAGATGTTTTAACGGTATACAAATATAATGTCCGAAAAGTTGCAAGTCCAAGAAATATAGCTTTTGCGTTTTTATTTAAAACTCTTTATCAGTGTGTTTTCTATTTCCAAGTTTCATTTTACAATGTTCTTTATACATTACAATAGAATACAATTCTATTACACATTTAATACATATAACATACAATATAATACAATATAATACAATATTATACAATATAATATATAAATAGTTATATATAATCCTACCTACCTACCTACCTACCTACCTACCTATCTTAGACATCTGACATATCTTAAACGTTACTAGCGTTATTAATTAGGATTAAGGCTGCGTAACAGCCTTGATCCTAATTTTACATTTTGATATTTCCTTACTTATCCGGTCTAATATATTTCCTAACATATTTCCTACCTACCCGGCCTAATTTATTTTCTACAAGCGTTTGTAGATACGCATCCCTATCTACACAGATAGCTATTTACCTACCTACTTTGGAAAGTTTTAAAATCTATCAAATATTTTACGCGAGGGACAGTTGTTTTAAAATTAAAAAGTATTATTTTAAATTTATTTTACTTTCGCGACCGAG